TTTTTTGTTTTTAAATAAGTTTTCACAAATATCAGATAAATATTCAAATGACATATTAAATTGTTTAAATTTTTTATTTATTTTCAATCATAAATTCAAGTATTTTTATACATTTAAAATTATTTGATTTTAATAATTTTATTACTAATAACATTTTACATATCTGATAAAAATACAGTTATCTAATTTAAAATAAATCTTTTTCACTTACATAATCAATTACAAATTAAATATATATTTAACATTAATAGTTACATTTAATAATTAAATATTTATTTTAAATTTTAAATGAATAATTCAGAAGATAAATTTTACATTCAAGAAAAAATACCTAATGATAAAATAAATTATATTATTAACATATCTGTTGATTATTGGATTACTTCTTTCAACACGAAACATCTAAGTACATCTGAAGCAAGAGATGGATTTTTATATTTCATAAATACGATTAATAATACTTATTATGATAATCAAAATATTAATCTTTTAGATAAAAATAATACATTTTTAACATCTTTAATAGATTATACTAAAAAGAAAATTGGAACAATTTTAACAAATAATCATATTGAAACTATTAATTATTGGGCTGAAAAAATACTTTATCATCTTACACATCATATTTATCGAGAAATTTTATTATTGAATAAAAATACAAATCAAAAATTAATAGATAGATTAAATTTGAATAAAAAATCAAATGAAAAAAATATAAATCCAACATTATTAAGAATAGATGAAGTTTTATTAAATTTAGATATTAATTTTTCACAAAATGATACAATCGAAGAAAAAATAGATAAGATAATTACATATTCTAAAATTATGAAAGAATTTTAATATGTATATTTTTATAATATTATTAAATTAATAATTGTTGATCTTTATCAATTTCTATATTAGTTTTGTGTAAAACTTATTTTTATATAAATAATAATATTATTAATCGTAAATAAATTTATATTTTATTTGGACATTATAAACAAAAATTCGGACACTATGAAAATAATATTAATCGTAAAATAAATTTATATTTTATTTGGACACTATAAACAAAAATTTGAACACTATAAAAATAAAATTTATGTAGTAAAATCGATAGATTTAAATTCTACTCGTTGTTTTAAAAGACTAATATTTTCTATTACAACATTCTTTAATATTATTTGTGAATATTTTCCTTCTTTCAATTGTTCGTTATTAATATTGTAATTAATTACGATAGAATTTTTCTTTTCTTCTTTTTCATTTGAGATTTTTTGACTTCGATTCTTTGTTTTTCGTTCAATCTTTTTTGT